TGTGATCAGTGACATTGTACTTGTGCTCACATCTTGGATCAGTCAGCCACTTTATCTATCTGAGTGGCAGGAAGAGGAGAGGAGGGTTGACTTATAAGCCTGACAATGGCTCCATTCATGCGTCTAATTTAAGAATGGCTTCTGCTCTATCTAATTAACAATTTACTCGGCCATCATTCAGCCTTTCCATTGTGGTATAATCAGTGTCGCCAACATTCAGACAGCTAAGCACGCACTTTGGCATCTGCATTATGATTAGAACACCCATGCAACTTTCAAGGGTACGCAGACAAAAAGTGGATGCAGTGAGCTCCATTGAGAACAACTGTGTAACCCCAGACTGAAAGATGACACTGTGCAGTGGAGTTAGATGGGCAACATGTCCGGCAAATTAGTCAGCTCTGTTTGTTCATGCTAGGAGCTGCAGCCGTATAATGCTGTTTCTGTGTTACAGGTCCACTCCCTCTGGGGCGTTGTTTGTTGGTTTAGCCGGTCAGTGTGTATCATGACTCCAGTGTGAACGCAGCTGTGATGAAACTGCATATTGTATGAAAATGACTGTCTTTTTTAAGGGCTGAATTCAGGTGCATCGGAGGGTTTGTTCTCAGGCACCTTTAAAGGATTATGATGTCCATGAACTTTTGTAAAAAGACATAAATAAATCCCCCCATGAAGACGCCACCCACCTCACAACCCTAAAGCTGCATAACACCAATTTATCTGGTCCTCCCTCTTCTCCCACACCCTCCTCAAAACAAGTGTCAACTCATACTTTTATTGATTTATCTTGTTTTAACAAGACTGGAGGGGGGAGGAGGAGGTTAGTATCTACGTTTTCCGCTTATTGCCCCTCCAAATATTCTGACAGTAGAATAATAACCCACAGGGCGGATTAGAGACTGGTAATCTGGAGGAATAGCGTATTCCATTTCTACTGCTGTCTGTATTTTTTGCCCCTTAGCTTCCTCTGCATAAACAAATAGAATTCCACTTAGTTCCTCTGCCTTGCTGATTAGCAGTGGGGTTGGGAGACTGGGATAACCTGGAGGGGGTGGTTCCAAGGATATATGAGGCCAGCATGCCTGTGTGTGTGAATGCATGTGTGTACTGCATAAACAAATGCAGTGCTACTTGATGTAGGGTGTGGCCAATTAAAAGAAGCCCTGAAGGAGTGCTCATCAATATGCGGCGAGCGTAGCAGATCCGCTCTCCAATACCCTGCTGCCTGTCACTGTAACCAAGCCATTAATACCACCCTGGCTCTGTAACATTAAATATTGACATCTTCATCCTTAATATCTTGAATACTTAATAAAAATATGCATACAATGGCGATATAATGAAGCCAAAAACATTTTAAGTATGACAGTTTTTACCCTAACTTCTGTATGTTGTATGTGATTTGGCTGATAATGCAAATATATCCATTTTAAATGATATAAAAGCAGAGTTAACTAATATTTGAAGTAATAGTACAATGTAATATTGATAACACAATGCAAAAGTACCAAATTTTAATCAACATTCCATAAAATTAGTCATTAGACTAATTTAATATAATACTGCTGATGTCCACACAAGCTGTCAAGCATTAGACCTACTTACAGGTTCTAATAATTACTGTACATATAAAAACTTATTTTAATTTGATAACAACATTGTTCCAGAGATTAATTATATCACCCATTTGTGCATCAAATGAAAAGAACAACTATATATTGGGTAAGTTTTAAATATTATTATCAACAGTTACAACTTAGAAACTAAGAAACAAACTAAGAAGCTTTATTTATGAATACGAGCGAAGTGGGTGAGAATGTTATTAACTTGTGAGAGAAAAAGATTCTTTTGTGATGGAACAAACAAACATGCAGTATTGTGCCGATAAGACAAAGACAAATAGAACCAAGGCTGAATGTCTGAATTGGACTTCACTGGAAGCAATTATCCTTAAGTTATCTTCTGTATTTACTCTCATTGTCTAGTGGGTCCAATGGAAAGCCAGAAAACAATGTGTGACACTGGCATGTGTATTGTAGGAGTACACAATAAATTGCCAAGCAAAACTTTTTGTTTACCTTCTTCAGTATGAGTTAGGCCTGGGTAGCAGCCAAACCACGTTGCACTCGTCACGACTGAACTGAATTGTGTTAGACCCCAAAACTTCCTAACAATGGTGCAACAACCCATTGATGACCTTTATAAATCTCTGTGACCAGAAGGATTTGCAACAACATTAACAAAACGTATTATCTCCTCCCTCTTCCTGGAGCTGTGGAGCTCTCTGGCACATTGTAATGAGGCTTATTAGTCTTCATAGCAAAAAGGTGTTTCTTATAGTATCATCCTCAATTGTTAAAGATTTGAAAGCGAATAAGTCAAATCAGGGAGCTTGGGAGTATCTTAGGATTCAGGCCGATCATGAGAAATGAACCCCAGAAATTAATGAGCCACATATACTGAGCAACATCCTTTCCATCTATAAATATATTGTGGTCATTTTGTATTATAGAGGTGTAACAATTTTGGATATTTCCTTGTAAATACCTCAAGAGAAGAGTTGGGTTTTGTTGGTCTCTTAGCCGGTTAGGCTAACTTGAACTCACAAGAATATAAACAACATTCACCACTAATGAGAGCTGCTAATTCTTTTTCTCTTATTTTGCTGCCACCACGCTGTTGGCAGACTGACCTGTGACAAAAGACACTGAAACCGGAAAACACAGGGTGGCAAGTCTCATGGTAGGCTTGATTCTATATATCACATAATCTGCATGCGTCTCAATTTAACATGCATTCATTCACTCTTTCTTACAGTCTTTCTTTCTCTTCACCCTCACCTTTCCTCAGACCTCCCCATACGCTCATAAAACACTACACCCACACATACATGATCTCCCTCAGCCTCACTCCCACTATGCTCATAGTCAGTCGTTTCAGGAGGTGGATGATGCCATGTCTCATTGTCAGTATATGACATGATGTTTGATCCCACCTAATCCTGCTATGCAAATCAGATATTGTTATGCATGCCATCTTTTTCTTTACAGCTTGATGTGCTCTGAACAATTATCTCCCCCCTTCAGATGTTACATCTTGTGGCCTCTTTTTGAAAATAGGGCAGAGTTTTTGGCACTTCCGTGCCAAAAGAATAACAAAGTTAATTAATTCAAAAGATGCCCTCATTGTGTAGTAGTTTAAAACTCCTGAAGAGAAAGCTTTCAGTTTCACCATAATGGTTTTATCCATTCATTTGAGCTTTATTGGCTTTGCTTGGTAGGGAGCAACAGCACCCCCGAGCAACAGCTTTCCCACAGAGGCATTTGATCATATGCTGACTGGGTGAAAAGGAGTGTAAATTAAAGTCCCTCCTCACTCTGACACTTTAAACACAAGACATGACGGGCCATATTTTCTCTGCCAAATCAGGAGCCTGGGAGATGGATACCAATTATAATTGCAGCAGGGAGAGAAAAAAAATCAGCCATAGGTGTGTGTCAGGAGCCTGGTGCTAAATCACACCAGCAGCTGGATGATGAAAACCTGCCTGTAGGGTCTGTGGGACCCTGAGCCATTCTGTGCCGGTGAAGGGGTGTGTACTTGAATTTGCATCACCCTGTGACATTTCAAAGAGCATACACAAGTACATGTGCCTCTTTGATTTTCCTAGTTGTGAAATGCAAAGTTCCTTTGTAGGCCCACAATAATCTGCAGCTCTCTTAATATAATCCTGCAGTTTTAGCCCAGTAATGAACAACGTGAGGAAGATGGAGTGTGTGCAGCACGTTGCATAAGCGTGTGTGTGTGTGTGTGTGTGTGTGTGTGTGTGTGCGTGCCGAGTCACAGAGACAGTGTGTGAAGGGTTTTTTTTGCGCGTGGCATAAGCGTGTGTGTGTGTGTGTGTGTGTGTGTGTGTGTGTGTGTGTGTGTGTGTGTGTGCGTGCCGAGTCACAGAGGCAGTGTGTGAAGGGGTAGGGCAGGGTGAAGATGAGAGTTTCCACAAGCTCTTGATGGAACAAATTGGATGTTACAAAGGTGCACCTGTCTCTCCTCTGTGGTGCTGCTTATCAAACATCAGACGCCATGTCAGTTTTATTTTCTCTGCACTGCATTAAACATATTTATACAAAACATGTATCAGGCGTACAGGAACACACACACGCTGACATGCCAGGTGCTTCTTTCTCCCTGCCCCTCCTTCCACCACCTATCCATGCACGCACGCGCGTACATCCTAGGATATGCTCCTGCC